AAAAAAAAAAAAAAAACATTACCAAAACAAAGAGAAAGAAAATGTTACCATTTCCTTTTTTATCTACCAGCCTTATTGAATCCTACTTCACATACCATGCAATTCACCCATTTGAAGCATACAGTTGAATTATTTTTAGCATATTCAGAGTTGGGCAGCCATCACCACAATCAATTGGAGAACATTTTCATCACTCCCCAAACAAACCCATCCTCATTAGCAGGCGCCCTCCATTGCCAGGCCAAGGCAACCACTAAAGTCCTTTACGTCACTCTGGATTGGCTAATTCTGGACATCTCATTTAAGTGGAGTCACACAGCATTGGGCCTTTTGTGTTTGGCTTTCTTCTCTTGTAATGTTTTCAAGCTGTATCCGTATTGTAGCACTTATTAGTACCTCGTTTTTTTACTTTTTACTTTTTAAAAAAGATTTTATTTATCTATATGAGAGAGAGCATGCATGCACAAGCAGGGGGAAGGGCAGAGGGAGAGGGAGAAGCAGGCTCCCCGCTGAGCAGGAGCCCGATGTGGGGCTCCATCCCAGGACCCCGGGATCATGACCTGAGCTGAAGGCAGACGCTTAACCCATTGAGCCACCCAGGCGCCCCAGTACCTTGTTTTTTAAATTGCCACAGAGGATTCCATTATGTAGGTACTGCATAGTGTTCTTCCATTCACTAATTTGCAGACATATGGATTGTGAATAATCCACTGCTCTGAACATCAGCTACACGTCTTTGGGTGGATGTATGTTTTCACTTCTCTTGGGTAGATTCCTAGGAGTGACATTGCGAGGTCATATGATAACTCTTTTGTTTTCACCTTCAGAGCAACTGTCAGACTGTTGTCCAGAGTGGCTGCACCCATTTATGTTCCTACCACCAGTGTCAGAGAGTCCCATTTTCTCCACATCCCCACCATTTGTTATCAGTCTGTTTGATTATAGCCATCATTATGGGTGTAAAGTGATCTCTCATTGTGATTTGATTTGCATTTCCCTAATGAATAATGATGTTAAGTGTCTTTCATGGGCTTATTGGCCATTTGTATATCTTCATTTGGGGAAACGTCTATTTGGATCCTTCACCTATTTTAAAATTGGATTATTTGTTTTATTATTGAGAAATTATGTACATACCACAAATTCACCATTTTATTTTTTTTTAAGATTTATTTATCTGTTTTAGAGAGAGAGTGCATGCATGCACACACGAGCTGGGGAGAGGGGCAGAGGGAGAGGGAGAGAAATCCTCAAACAGACTCCCTGCTGAGTGCAGAGTCCCACGCGGGGCTCAATCCCAGGACCCTGAGATCATGACCTGAGCCAGAATCAAGAGCTGGATGCTTAACCGCCTCAGCTACTCAGGTGTCCCATAAATTCACCATTTTAAAGTGTATAATTGAGGGGCGCCTGGGTGGCTCAGTCGGTTAAGCGTCTGCCTTCGGCTCAGATCTATGGTCCCAGGGTCCTGGGATCGAGTCCCTCATTGGGCTCCCTGCTCGGCGGGAAGCCTGCTTCTCCCTTTCCCACTCCCCCTGCTTGTGTTCCCTCTCTCGCTGTCTCTCTCTCTCTGTCAAATAAATAAATAAAATCTTTGAAAAAGAAAGAAAGGAAGGAAGGAAGGAAGAAAGAAGAAAGAAAGAAAAAGAAAGAAAGAAAAAAAGAAAGAAAGAAGAAAGTGTATAATTGAGTGGTTGTTAATATATTTGCCAGGTTGGGCAACCATCACCACCGTTTAGTTTCAAAACATTTTTATCTCCCCCAAAGCAACTGTGTAGCCAGTAGCAGTCACTCTCCTTCTGTCCAGTGGCTAATGATGTTGAGCACAGTTGCACGTGCTTGTTGGCTATAATATCTTCTTTGAAAATATGTTTGTTTAAATCCTTTGCCCATTGTTTAGTTGAGCTATTCATCTTTTCATTGTTGAGTTGCACCACTTCTTTATATATTCTTCTTTACATTCCTCTTATCAGATAGATGATTTGCAAAAATTTTCTCCCACTTTGTGGGTTGTCTTTTCAGTTTCTTGATGGTGTCCTTTGAAGCACAAAAGTTTTAATTTTAAGTTTAATTTTGATGATGTCCGATATATGTTGCTTGTGCTTTTGATGTTATAGCTAAAAAACTATTGCTTAATCCAGGTCATGAGGAGTTATGCCTATTTAAGAATTTTATAGTGTTATCTCTTACGTTTAGCTCTTTAATCTATTTTTGAGTTACTTTTTGCATATGGTGTGAGGTAGGGGTCCAACTTCATTCTTTTGCGTGTCTATGTCTAATGTCCCAGCACCCTTTGTTGACTTCTATCCTTATAAATTTGTTACATTGCTTTATGTCTCAGAATTGGATCTATCTTGGTGAATGTTCCACGTGAGCTTGTGAAGAATATATATTTTTCTGTGGTTAGATGAAGTATTCTATAAACATAAATTAGATTACTAGATTGACAGTGCTGTCCAGTTCAGCTATATCTTTACTAATTTTCTATCTGCTGGATCTGTTGATTATTGATAGAGGGATGTTGAGGTTTCTACCACAATAGTGGATTTATCTATTTCTCCTTTCAGTTCTATCAATGTTTGCCTCATGTATTTTGATGTTCCGTTGTTAGGTGTATTCACGTTAAGGATAGTTTTATCTTGTTGGAGAATTGGCCCTTTACCTTTATGTAATGCTCCCTCTTTATCCCTGATAGCTTTCCTTGTTCTGATGTCAGCTTTTTCTGAAATTAATGTAGATAATCCAGCTATTTTTTTATATATCTTTTGTGTCCTTTTCCTTTTATTTTATCAATGTCTTATAGACAATATACAGTTGAGTCTTGTTTTTGTTTTTGTTTTTTTTAAAGATTTTATTTATTTGAGAGAGAGAGAATGAGAGACAGAGAGCACGAGAGGGAAGAGGGTCAGAGGGAGAAGCAGACCCCCCGCTGAGCAGGGAGCCCGATGTGGGACTCGATCCCGGGA